TTAAAATTAGAATTCTTCGGACTGACTAAAAAAAAATTCATTTTATAAATTTTTTATATTGATGCTATTATTTATTCAGCTGAGATCTTCAGAGATCATGATGATGCAAATAAAAATTAGCATGTAAACAGAATAGATTATCTTTACTAACAAAATGAAGTTTCGGGGACTATCTATGTTTTACATAGTCTCGAAAGGGTCATTTGTTAGCAAAGATTTTATATAATAAGCCATCTTTTTAACCTGGATAATTTTCATGTATTTGCAATATACATATTATTATTAAGTACAAAAAAAAAATAATAATAATAATAATGAAATCATTTAATAAAATTACTATTCTTGTTGCATTAATAGTGATTTGTTTATTGCCTTCAGAATCATATTTTGTTCCACGATCGAAAGTAAATGATGCATGTACAAGATTAGCAAAAACAATTGATTCACCCAGTTACGATGATGTTAAAGCGTGCTATGAAGGAATTAAATATGATGCTAATCGAGCAAATGCAGTAATTATTATTTTTCTCAATTCCAAATAATAATTTGTTTGACATAAAGTATACAGTGCACATATATTAAAATTAAATATTTTCATAAAAGTTGATCGATGTAGTAGAAAAAGTTTTGTCAAATTTATATATTTTTTATGACCAAGCTAAAGAGGAACCAAAGAAAGGTTTTAGTTTTAAACCTATAGATTTGGGAAAAAGATTAAACTTAATACGTAAAGGACATTTCAAGTCTGATTTTGAATTCATAGTATGTTAGGAATCTTTGCTCGCGCTTTCAATTAACTCTTTATAATAATAAATCCTAAAATTATTAACTTAAATTATTAGACGGTCATAAGTGATCTAATTTCACAATTAAGAGATGCTCATACGCATTTGGATATCGACTGTTATAACCGATTTATATTTTCTCAACGATTATTCTTGTATTCGGAGGTTACACGTAATAAAGTACAGGTAAATATAATTCTTTATACGAAAAAGTGGGAAACTAATTATTAATTACTTTATTTCAACATCGATATTAGAAAATTAAGGTATATATTTTAATAAAGTGATTAGCATGCAAAACATTAATTTTAATAAGTTTAAA